TCTGGTTTCGGGGTTATGGAGGTTTTGGCACCCCCGGGTCACGATGGTGACCAGGGTCACCGCCAATCGATTCATTATTTTAATATCACCAGGTGTAAGACCCCAACTGAGCTGCTTGCTATCGCAGCTCCTTTTCAGAAGCGACCTGGCTATCACAAATGATAGCTCAACGAAGAGTGGCTTATCATCATCACTACCACCACCATGTGGAAATGTATAGCAGCCAACCACTCTAAAGGCGTGTTTTTTAACGTGGAAGGGAAGCTCAACTACCGTATAGTGAACTGCGATAATAGGGTTTTCCCCGTTAATCTGGCAACAAAACAGCTGTGCTAAGAAGTTAAAACACCAAACTGAAACCTTTTTACAAGGAATCATGTCTGCATTAACCACAATGCTTGTGGTCAGAATGCACGCCTTTTGGCGTCTTCTGGTCCAACACCAATGGAGACTAGGCTCTAAGAAAAGCCGTCTCGGATTTGGACCAATCAAATTCAAGGACAGTGCATATTATTATCAGAGTTGTCTTTTTTGTTTGCATTTTGACTGCTTGTGTTGTGGTTATTGCAAACATGATGCCTTGAATAAAGGTATCAGTTTTTGTGCCAGTTAAAAGGGTAAAACCTATTCCTACAAAAAACATACTCTGATAGTATATGCATTGTCCTTGAAACTGATTGGTCCACACCAGAGACAGCTTTCTTTTGAGCCTCGTCTCAAACGGTGTTAGACCAGAGGACGCCCAAAGGTGAGGCTCAAAAGAAAGTAAACAAGAAACATACTCTTATAATATAATGTAGACATTATTTCTTGTAAAAGGTTTCAGTTTGGTGTTTTAACATCTTAACACCTACATTTTGATTTAAAGCTTTCGTGACTGCAGGGATTCATATTCTTGGTTCTTTCGGTAAAGTCACGTAGAAGGGAAACAATAAAATAATAAAAATATAAAACAATACAATTCTCACGACGTTTCGACTGCAACACAAGCAATCATCATCAGGTGTGAAAACCACAGCAAGAAAAATGTAAAAAAATGTGAAAAAAGTTTTTCATTGCTGTGGTTTTCACACCTGATGATGATTGCTTGTGTTGCAGTTGAAACGTCATGAGAATTTTATTGTTTTATATTTTTATTATTTTATTGTTTCCCTTCTACGTGGTGACTTTACCGAAAGAACCAAAAATATCTTAACACCTGTTTTGTTGCCAGATAAAAGGGGAAAAAGCTATTATCATATTTTGGTACTGGCAAAGGAGGTCCCATGATGTATACTAAACATTTTTTTTTATTTTACCAGGTAAGCCCCACTGAGCTGCAATATATAGGAGCTCTCTTGTGATATCCAGGTTGCTTCTGAAAATTAAGTTAATAACCTAAGTGGGGCTTTGTCTCACTGGCGGAGCCAGTGGGGGGGGGGGGGGGGTGGCACGTGCCCCCCCAATAATACGATCGAAATCCATAATTTCGATCGGATCATTGGAGTTTATTTGTAATACATCGGCATTTTGCGACCCCCACTGCCACTGTGTAGCATACTATTACGTGCCAGGGACTCTCTGGGATGATAGGACAATAGTCTGAGTCCATAATTGGCAATAAGTAACGGCAAAGCAGTTATAGGTGACGTCACAGAATTGTGCGCAGTTGCGTCTACAGAGTCCACGACTTCCCTGAAGGCATCAACACCTTCAGCGAGCGCGATGCCGATCACACAACGCGGTGCGAATCCGACCCTCGATCGATGGCTGCGCCATCGCCGCACACGCGTCTAATAAAACACAAGGGACAAGTCCTCACTTACTAACAACTCCTCTATCTTTCGATTTAAAGCTTTCGTGACTGCAATGATTCATCTTCTTTGGTTCTTTCGGTAAAGTCACGTAGAATGAGAATAAAATAATAAATTGATAAAATAAAATAACACAATAATATTCTCACGACGTTTCGGCCACAACACAAGCGGCCTTCATCAGGTGAAGGGGGCGAGACTGTCTGGTAGGGCAACACTCCAGCGCTGTCCTACCAGACAGTCTCGCCCCCTTCACCTGATGAAGGCCGCTTGTGTTGTGGCCGAAACGTCGTGAGAATATTATTGTGTTATTTTATTTTATCAATTTATTATTTTATTCTCATTCTACGTGACTTTACCGAAAGAACCAAAGAAGATGAACTCCTCTATCATTGTTCATTGCTGGAGGGGTTGCCCCCCCTCCCGACCTGAAAATCCTGGCTCCGCCATTGCAGTTAGTCTGTTGGACGGGGATGGTTAAGTTTTGTTTAACCCGTGGGCTTTCGCGACCAATATCATCCATAATACAGGGGGGGTTTGGGGGGGGTTATATCGCGAAAATATATTAATGTGTCGTTAAACCCGCCAAATCTGGGTGTCACCTGATGAAGCCAGTTGCAATTACTGGCGAAACGTCGTACTCAGATTGTAAATGTTGTGGCTTGGCTCTCCAACACACAACCGGTGTACTGTACTAGTATACTACACTATACACTACACTATCATACACAATACACTACTATACACTACACTATACACTACACTACGATACACAATACACTACACTATACACTACACTATACACTACACCAGGGTGATTTCAACAAACTACAACATCAGCTAGTTTCTCTTAAACTAGTCCTGAATACCTCCAAAACAACGGTGCTATGCTTCTCACCGGGACTAAAGCAGGAAGTTATTTTTCCCCAATTACATTCCTTGAATAATTATCAAATAGAGCAAGTCAAGATCTATAAGTATCTTGGGGTCATCCTGGATTCAAACCATAATTTTGAAGATCACATTGATTATATTGGTAAAAAGACAAAAATTTTTTTTTTTTTCTGTATCGACACAAGCACTGCTTTCCCCCAATGTTCCGTTTGGAATTGATAAAAGCTACCATACTGCCTCTACTTGACTACTGTGACATTGTTTATAAATCAGCCCCAAGTACTGTACTGAAGAAGCTTGATTCCATCTATCACTCGGCCTTAAGATTTGCATTGAACTGCCCATATAGGACTCACCACTGTGATCTCTACATTGGGTCAAACTTAACATCTCTTAATGTTCGACGGCTTGTGCACCAGATCTTATTTATTGACAATGTACTTACAAAAAAATCCGCAGACTACCTACCAGATCTCCTCTCTGTTTCAAAGAACATATTTGACCTCAGGTCTTCGCTCATTTAGCAGCTTCACATTCCCTATTGCCGTACAAAAACCGGAGGAAGGGCCTTTGCTATTGATGCCCCCAGGGTCTGGAATGCTATTGCCAATAAACTGCAACTTGAATCACTATGAGATCTTCACTCAAAACTGCCCTAGAGGAGTTGTACACCCCTAGCTGCCACTGCTATTCAGTGGCCTAAATATATGGCTCTAGATTTTGGTGTTATAATTTATTTATGTAGTTTATTGTTAAAAATTCGGTCACAGTCCCTATGATCACTGTTACATTGCATTTATGGCTTTTATTTTGGTGATTTCGAAAACGTTTTTTTTGTTTTGCCCATGTTTTTGTTTATTGTAGTACGCAGTTAGACTGATGGCCTTAATCTTAGTTGTCTTGTAGTTGTTGTTATTTGACTTGCATCCCACTGGGATTTTTGCACACAGCGTTGGTGTACGGTGCTATTTCAGGAATATTTTGATGTTTTTTTCCTGGATTTTCTGTTTACACAGCCACATAGTCACTTTAAGATGTTTACTTGTTCATGTTTTTGTTTTTTTTGTTTGTTGCGGTTGCACCCGATTCAAGAGCCGAATGGCTCACAGGGCTATACCAAATAAATGAATTATGGAACTAACTATGGAACTATGGGTGGTGGCGGGTTTAACGACACATTTATATATTTACGCGATCTAAAAAAACAAAACAAAACTCTATTATGGATAAGTTGCATTTGCACGTGTTCGATTTATTTGTTTAAATCTTCTGCACTTTGCACTCCTGTCGTCTTTTCGTAACTCTTTGTTGTTGTTGTGACGTTCTGACCCCGTGCCCCTTTATAGCTCATCGGGTTTCCCCCTGCAGTATATAAAAAAACACGAATTTTTTTTATTCTGAAGTGTCGTTGATGGCACGAAGGCGCTCCCTCCTCCCCCACAGAGGCAGCTGGTGCCGGTCATCGGCAAGTTCCATACCGTGCCAACCCATGCGGTCTAACCCCGTATTCCTGCATAGGGAAATTGAGTGTTCAGGTCCATACGACGTACAGCCGTTTCAATAGGGGCATCAAACGAAATGTGTCCATTTGTTTTATGGGGTTTCCCCCCCCCCCGCCGTCTTGGAGTTTTGTAAGGATGAACGTTGCCATTAGGGGCACGGGGTGAACGAAACGGTCTGAATTGGTCTGTAATAAGGTAGGGGGCACTGATAAGGGGTTGACAGGGATGGTCGGGTTATCGTATCCATTACGTCTTCACGCTTAACATGATGGAATGCATGCGTGGGGTGGGGGGCGGGACTAGAGTGATAGGGGGCGGAGCTAATTGTGTACGGGGGCGGGGTTAACCAAGGGGGGTGGGCGGGGCTGTATGGGGAGAGGGGAAGGGGGACAGCCACGACTCTCCAAGATGGCCTCCACCTCTCCCCCGCCCCCACTCGCCCCCAGTTTCACACTAGCCCCGCCCCTCGCTGTACATTTCCTCACGCGGATACGCAACCCCCCCCCCCACCACCTCCTCACTCTCGCGCCGCCATTGGCTAACGGCGTTCGTCAACGTCGCTAACCCATTGGTCGCTGGGGGGGAGGGGGGGGGATACCCGTGTGGCGAGCTGGGATGGGCCCCCCCCGAGCTCGTGCCCGTGCGTGCGCATCCGGACTATGGAATGTGAAGGCTGCTGACGATCGATCCCGCCCCCCACCACCCTGCATCACCCCTCACTATCCACCCCCCACCATCCCCCCCACCACCCCCCACCCTCACTCACCCACCCCCCACCCACCCCCACCCACCACCACCACCCACTCACCCCCCCCGCTCGCGCCGGGCCTCCATCACGGCGCGAGAGCTCCCCCACCAGCCATGTACTTCGCCGTAGGCAAACCACGGCGGCTTCTCTTCCCCTTCGCCAGCGACGAGAGCCCTCACTTCGTGGCGGCCGACCGCGAGCGGCTGCTGCTGGCCGCGCTGTCACGGTCGCAGCTGTCCGTGTGGTTCGCCAGGGTGAGTTTGATTTTTTTATTTAAAATTTTTTTTTACCTCACTCACCCCGTGCCGGTCGGTCGCCACTCAGACGCCCCGGGTCGGAGTCGCCTTCGTCGGTAGGGGAAACTATCCGAGCGGCGGTAGACGTCGGGAGGGAGGGGATATTTTTTTTTCGCTAGGCCGCACTCGACCTAAAAGTCGATTGTTACCGACTCTTATCGTTGTTGTTGTGTCGATGGGTGGGGGTGTTGTTGTTGTTTAAGCGGTTTATGTAACGTGTCGTCGCCGTTACCGACAGATATAAACGATTTATAATTATAACGCGTGTGGTGGAGTTTTGCGTGGAGGAATGACGATGAAACGTCATTTTACGTTAAGCTTACGTAAAACTTTGCGTGATTTCGATCGTCTTGTTTGTGTTGTTGTTATTGTGTAACAACAACTACGCTACGCACACCCGGGCGTACCTGCGTTCGATTCCGGCCACACATCATCGGTGGCGCACGATTGTTCGGAGTGACCCTTGTGACCAGCGTGGTGAAGTATGGTCAAACACCCCCTCCTTTCCCCCGTCTCTCCCATGACCGACGAGGCGTGGGTAGCCATTCATCCAGCAGTGGGTCGACAGGGCTGCACATTGCTACATTAATCGAGTCGACCGCGGTATCAACAGTTCAAAGAGTCGCAGGATCGCGAGAGATCCTGCTCCCCGCCTCCATCCAGCAGTGGATTTGACGACGATGATGTCCAAGGCGGCTGTCAATGTGGACGTACTGGTACCCGCCACGATAATGTGGAATTTCCATCGCTGGCCGGCGGCTGCTGACGAAGGCTATAATTGACCCCCCCCCCGCTTCCACCGTCCGTGGTTTTACAAGCCAGAGACTTTAGACAGATACTTTTTTTGACGATTTACCAACGATGTTGACAACCGGCGATAGCGATGTTGTTGTACTTTACTCCCGTGACGTGTAAAAAAAGCTACTTCACCACGCGCTTAACGTTGATTTAACATGCGAATTCTCTCATTGGGGCCGACAGGGTTAGCGTGAGCTCCGTTATAATAATTATATGTGCATTTACAACGTCCACGTCGTCAATCCACTGCTAGATGAAGGCCTGCCCTCCCCCGCCACACGCTGTGTTCGGCCAAAGGGCGGTTGTGTTTGACCATACTTCACCGCACTGGGCAATGCGCGTTTGTAAACGGATTTGAAAGGGCAAAAGATATTGTCACCCGCCAACCCACTCAATCATCGTGTTGGCTGTGGCCGGGGATCGAACTCAGGCGGTGTGGATGCGACCCATTGCGCCCTCCTGATGATAGATGTACGTTGCAATCGATCGCTGTAATTAGAGGCTCTGATTCGTCGTTGTGCCTTTGTTTAGTTTGACAAGGTTATGTACACAGTTACAGATTGACCGACAGCCTTAACAGGCTGGTAGGGGCAAGTGCTGTTAGCGAGCGCCTATGAAGACTGCCACGGCAAACACGAGGGGGTGGGTGGGTGGCCAGCACCACGCCCGGCCGCCTTTGCCTCCCAAGTGGCGATGTTTGCACACCGCACCCGGTACTAATTTGAGGCCGAGTCGACCTAGGCGGAGGCCCAGGACCGGTTTGGATAAACGTCACCGGTGTTGGTGGCCGTGAGCGGGAATCGAACTCGGGTTAGCCGGGTTTGTGGCACAGCGTAGCGCGAACCACTACGCTACTACACCCCATATCTGAAAGCATAACACACATATATTGGTCGTCAGTCCAGTGTGGGCAAACGCAGATGCGCAGTGTTGTCAGAAAGCACCTATAAAATATGCTTTTCTTTAATTTAACCAGGTGTGTAAGGTCTACTGAGCTACAAAGCTATTAATTCAGAAGCGATCTGGCCTTCACAATTGATAGCTCAACCAAGTGGCGTATCATCATCAGCACGTGGAAATGTATAGCAGCCATATACTCTAAGCGCATGAATGTTGATTGTCAATGTGGAGGGAAAAAAACGAGGGACCCGGAGAAGAATCCACGCGACCACGGCGAGAGAGAGAGAGATACAAATTCCCAATATACAGCAGGCATCAGGGTCGCGATCGAACCCACGACCGCTTGCATGCCAGGCGAGGTAGTTAACATCTCACCACCGTGGCACCTATTTAAGTGAGGCACAGCCATAAATCTGTGTTAGGGAGGGGCGGGTGGGCCAGGGGGTGGACTTCAATGTGCAGTGCTCTTTCCAATAACATCTGATAATCCAGCAACATTTGTTGAACAAGTCTGATGCATCAGCTGACGTTTGTACGTATCCAACCGTGCTCACCGTAGGTGCGGTGAGAAGGATAACGACTAAACACAAAACAGCGGTTGTAGTTTTCAATCTAGTTTTGAGACCCAGAAGGTTGAAACCGGTCCAGCGTTTTCGCTCTTAAACAACACGTGCCATTGAATACTGTATATTGGTCTGGAAAGCCAATCGGCATGGAGTTAAAATATGCTTGTGCAGGCACAGCATGAAGTTCTGGTAATATTTGCATGCATCAATGATGCTCCGTGGCAACACAACAAGACAGAGGTCTTCCTTCCTGTGATATTTCCGTGGGCTGTTCTTTAACACAACTTCGGTGATTGTGTGCGTGTGTTTGTATAAGGGGTTGGTGTGATGCAGCAAGAGGTGTCAGAGCGTGGGGGGTGGCGGTGGCGTAGCGGTTCGCACAGCTGCGCTTCCAACCCGGCGGCCCGAGTTCGATTCCTGCTCACACGGCCAACGCCAGTGACGATTGTCTGAACAGATCCTGGGCCTCCCCAAGGTCGACTTAGCTTCAAATGAGTACCTGGTGCGGTGTGTAAACATCGCCACAGGGGAGACAAAGGTGGCCGGGCGTGGTGCTGGTGCTACCGACCCTCTCGTGTGCCGTGCCGAAATTCGGAGGTTCTCGCTAAACAGCACTTGCCCAACTGTCCTGTGACAGGCTACACGGGGGATCTTTGTCTTTGACGCAGCTAGCAACACAAAACACATACCCGCCTCTGTGCTGCACACGCCTGTGACCAACTCGCTCTGAACGCGCCCCCCGATCTCGGCACATCTCCGAAGCTAAGCAGGGTCGTGCCCCGGATAGCCCTCGGATGGGCTGCCACACACAACAGGTGGTTATAGGACTACTCCGGGGAGGGCTACGTTGTGGACAGCGGTGTGCAGAGGCGTAAAATCCATCGTGCTTCTATGCTCCCCGCTTTCGCCAACCCCCGTAACCATGCGGCATGGCGAAGTATGGTCACGGAAAAATGCCTCTTATTCACAAGGTTTGACAAAGGGCTGTGTACGACTTACTACAACAAACCAATTCATAGTCTTGAGTCGACCCCGGGAAACCCCTGAAAGCAGATCGGCACCAGTTACTCAGAAGAACACAACATTTATTTAGGAAATGCCGTGGCAGCGTTGCATATTCTTCGTTGGCGTAGACTGTCGCGTGTTCAGGCTGGTGGTGTAACTTTCGACGGTTCCTGTGGGGCTGTAGGGACCCAGGCTTCGAGCTACTGAGAGAGAGAGCGGCTGAGGGGAGACATTGGACAGAGGAGGAGGGGGGGGGGGTCCCCAATTCGTTCTTTGAAACCAGGGTCCTCTTGTCAACCATGGGCACAAACGCTAATATATACACAGCGAGTAGTCGTTTATCGCCGCTGGTAGTAGTAGTAGTGGATGCGTTCCTGTAAAGTACCGCATGAAGCGAAAGACGCCTCGAGCGAAACCATAAATGATGTAGTCACGATAAAGTTTGGCGAGATACGATGCACTACCACTACGCTGACCGCGCAGTGCGACGGCGGGACAAGTATCACTCCGCGTTACCTTATCGCCGTACCGCTCGGCCGTGCAGCTCGAGAAAGCAGTCCTAGATCGATCGGGAACCGCTTTATAATGGCGGTGCACGTTCCGCGTTGCACAGAAAGTGTTCCCTTTACGGAAGAACGCCGTTATGGCAAAAGCGCGTTGTGTGAATGCGCGGTAAGCGAGGTCTTACCGTACACTAATAAGTAATATTTAAAAATAGTTTTTTTTTTAAAACACGCTTTTATGAAATGTACTAGTAATGGAAGAACTCCACGACTCCAGGAAGTGGCCCCGAAGCTTGCCATAACGTAAGGGGGACCTTGGCCAATTACAGCCAACGTCAGTTGAGGTTGGACAATGAGACCCAAGCCGAAACATAACATGTAATAAAGAATGTTTAAAAAAATGTTTTATGATATAATATAGTATTGTCATCAGTATGACATAAGTATACCGAGTTTGCAGTCGATACCACATTGGGAATTGGGTTAGAATTGAGTTACAAGATTTGAGGATGCAACAACGACAACAACAGAGTGAGTTAAATTAAAGCGTGTGAAAAGAAAACTTACCATATCCGTCAGAAATATTTCTTTATCACGGAAAAAAAATTAAATGGAATAACCCACACGGCGGTTCTCAAAGCTGTGTGGTTTTTCAGAGGGTAGGTGGAGGGTGGGGGTCCATAAACTTCGGCGTGGGTACCGTGCAGGAGAAAATTTCCAATGGGTCGCAGGGGGAACGTCAGCGCCACGTTGCAGCGACAAAACGCACGAGCACACGGCCTGAAACAAATGCCTTACTAACGCAAAACACACCGATACAAAACGTTAAATTAATGCTTTGATAGCAAAAGACACTAATACACAGCATGAAGCATAATCCCCTTACTAACGCTAGACTAGCTAAAGCGCAACGTGAAAAACATTCCTTCCTAACACACCCAATACACAACGTGAAATGAATGCCTTGCTAACAAAAGACACGCTAATACACAGCATGAAGCAATCATCTTACTAACTAACGCAATACGCGCTAAAGCACAACGTGAAACGCGTTGCTTTTGCTCGCTCGAATCGGAGTAGCGCACAGCGTGAAACACATGCATGCTTCGACAATAACAGCAGTGGTGGACATGTGATCTCTTTTGTATATTGTGGCCTTCGTAACTCTAGTTGTGTTTTTCGGGCT